AGTCACCATACAAAGGCTCATCTAGTACTTGGGACTTCTGTAACCTGGCTGTGAGCCCGATGTCACAGACAGAGAAGAGAGGCTTGGAAGCAAAGGAACCTCACTGGGCCCGTACCTCTTCCTTGTCCAGGCCTCTAAATCCACTGTATTCCTGAAGTCATCTACCACTCAGGCCCTGGCCAGCCCTTCCCTGGTCCCTGGGGCCCGTACCAGACTACTGAACGGCCTGCATGAGGCCGCTCCATGGCTCTGACAACTGAGATGGTGTCCAGAGTGGCCTAGGAAAGCCTAGAGCTGAGTGGCACCCTCGCTCCAGCGCTCAGCCAGCAGAACACAGGGGCTCCCCTGAGGGACAAGGGTGACACACCCACCCCAGTCCCTGCCCAAGCCTGAACCCTACTGGATTTAGTTGACATCCTGCATGGATAGACCTGGACTTTGTCCTACAAATTGGGCATCCAGCCTTCCTATCCCCCTGCTCTGTGTTCCGGTGGTCAGTCCTGCACTCCCCTCCCGCTTCCCTCCTGGAAAAGTAGCTTTGGCCGTCAGCCACTGACCAGAGGCACCCTGGCTTCTCTCCCGCCTACTAGGGAAAGGCAGGGCACCAACAGGAGCTGCCCTGCTGGGCAACCCATGAGCGGAGGCTGCTACTCAAGCCTGCTCTGCCTTAAGCGATCCCCAACACCCCTGTTCCATTCATCCCGATAGAGTGTCCGTGGAATCCTGCTGCTATGGGTGTGTGTGGCAGTGCTGCTGTACCCCCCTCCCAGCCTTTCAAAAGACTCACACTTCCTGCTCATACTCCCCCAGTGGGCAGACAGAAATCCTGATGCTACGGGCCTCAAAGCAGTAAACAGGACCCAAAGTCATGGACCCACTCTCTGTCATATTCACACCAATAGTCGGGCATCAAAAGCTCCACTGGCCCTACTGCAGGGAACTGCAGATACCCCTCCCCTACCATATTCATTCCAATAGGCGAGCACATCAATCCACTGTAGCACCTAGCTGAGTGCAAAGGCACCCTGCCCCCTGCCAGGGTGAGTGAGGGGGAGCATTCCTGAGTGGAAGGGACAAAGGTGTGGGCCATCAGGAGCCAGCTGTGCTGCCCCAACTGGGTGCCAGAGGCCTGGCTTCTTCTCCCCGTGCAGGGAGAGAAGGGAAGGCAGCTCCATGCACGCCACAAGGGGCAGCCTGGCCAGCAGCCTCTGGGGTGGGCTATTCCTGAAGCCCCCTCTTATGTTTTCCATTTAAGCTTTAAATATGTTCATTATGAAGTCCCAGCCTAGGTCAGAAGTGACAGCTGTGTAGCTCATGTCACCTGCACTCCACCAGATTAAAGGCCAAGCGTCTTCTGAGCTCAAGCCACTTGTCAGCACCATTCCTAATTCAGAAATGAGTTGATTCTGTGAGGGGGGTCACACCATAGGAAGGGGCATTTCTCCAGAGCCCCCATGAAGCAGGAGAAGCAAGACGGGGCAGCTAGTCTCAGTCTTCCAATCTCCCGGGCTTTCCTTTCACACCCCAGGTAGGCTGAGAGAACAAAGCCCAGAGCTGACACTCGGGGGACAGAGAATGATGACAAGAGATCGCAACCTCTATGGCTGGCTCTCACCCAGTTGCTTTCTCCACATTTAACGTTCAATTAAGCCAATAAAAAATGGAGACAATTTCAGATACAGATAAATGATGCTAAGAAAACAGACGCAGCACTACGACTCATTTAGAGTGGGCACTTTAGGGCCGGAGCAGAGCGGGTCTCAGAGTAGTGACCTCTCGGTGGAGACTGGATCACACGGAGCCCACCACATGCACATCTCGGGGAGAGCTGCCAGGAGATGGCACAGGGAGTGCAAAGGCCCTGAAGTAAGCAAGTCAGGCCTGGGATCCCTGTGAGTAAGGAGGGAGGAGAGGTGAAAGGAGGGCAGGGACCAGGGCCTCCTGGGCTATGGACTTAGTCTGAGAACCATGGCAAATGGCAAGGGGCTCTGAGGGGCAAGTTATGTGATGTGGCTTCACTCACACACTCACATATTTTTGTGGTGCTGGGGATGGAACCCAGGACCTCACACCTGCTAGGCACATGCTCCACCCATGAGCTGCCTCCCATCCAGGTTTGCATTTTTAAAGACCATGCTGCTTACTGCTGGAGAAGTAGGTGGGGCAGGAAGGGACAGCTCATGAACTGGCCTGGTCCTCCAGGCAAGGGCCAAGTCTGGAGGAAGGAGCCAGATGTGAGGGTGGCACTGGACACAGGCAGAGCGCGGACTCTCAGCCTCATGGCTGAGATTTGCGGCAAAGGCCTGCTAGGTATTTTAGATCCCTTCATGCTGTCAGCAAGGCTCATGTCCTGACCAGTACGGATGTTCTCATACTGTTTCATGACCCGGATGACCTTGGTAAGGCTGCACTGGCCAGGACCACCCCAGGGCTTTTCTGGATGGCTCCCAGGCCCCTCTCATGCACATCAAGCTCCCTGTCCCATCCCACAGCCCTACCCCCTCCGGTCAGACACCAGCACAAGGCAACCTTGCACCCACTGCACATGCTCCAAGGTCCCCGACAAGGCATCGCTGAGGCCCAAAGTCCAAGTGCTCTGTGCATGCATCTTCCCAGATGACAGCCAGTGCAGTCAAGGCTACCCAGCTGTGAGCCATTGCCACCCGTAAGCCCTCAGGGGTCTGGCCAGGACCAGGTGATCCAGGGCCTCACCTCGGGTTCTGAGTTCTTTCTCCTTGAGCTGCAGGTTTAATAAGTCACACGGCCAATCTGCCACTCAGAAGAATACTCTTCTTATGTGACAGCCACGAACACACGAGGACATCTCAGGCTGGGTGGCATGCCTGCCAACTGCCTGTCAGAAGGCCAGCAGCACGGTCTTCAGATACCCAACACCCCTGTGCCAACTCTGCAAGCAGTGTGTGGGTGGTTCCACCACCTTCCCCTGGACCCCATGGCGGGTCTGCACCAGACAGCTCCTTCCTGTCCTGATGACCTGGACCCTTTGGGCACCATGCACCCTTTGCCTCTGCCTCTCTGTGCCCCCAGCCCAGAGTCAGATCTTCAAGCTCCCAGGCTGCATTGGGAGACTAATCTGCCCCTTAACAACAAATGGGGGCAGGATGCACTCTGCCTCTCTGGGTAAGCGCTCTACCTGGGTGAGCAGTGAGGAGTGTGTGTGTGCATGCACACGGCAGAACTACAGAATGAACAAGCCCTGGAACACAGCTGCCACACCACACAACAGTTGTCAAATTACTGGCTTGTCACTGAGTGTTGCTACCCTCCCCCAAAGCAGAGAACGTACATCACTATTGGAGCTCAGGAAACTTCCAGGAAGCCTGGATTTCAGGGGAGAAATTGCTCCTGGAGGATGTCTCCTCATGGTGAATACAACAGGGCTGGGGTGGGGATGAGGTGAAAGCCATGCTGCAAAGGACTTGCCTATTCCTGGCCCGGTTTGGGCTAGCCTGGAAGGAACAGCCCTCTGACACTCAGCCTGCGTGGGGGCTCAACATTGGCATAGCTGTCTCCCTAAGACCAGGTGCATCTGCTTTGACACAACCTGGCAAGACAGACCAGACAGATGCGTCTGCTCACCTCCCGGGGCCCTGTGTTAAAGGACCTGTCACCCTGCCCCCTACACGTGCAGGCAGACAATGGCTTCACAGGTTCTCAGCCTGGAGCCTGAGGGGGAACAGAGATGCCACTGCCCGGGCCTGGGTCACCCCTTGACTTGCCTGCCACCTGCAAAACCCCTTCAGCTCACTTAGAACCTGGCAGCAGGGTCCTCCGTAAACAAGGAAGGAGGGGGAGGGTGCTTCGTCTGTTAGTGTTATTGGAGAGGCAAGGTTTCTGGTCAGTGGGGGACCTGGATTCACCCAGTGCAGACAGACCTAAGAGCTTAACGTTCATCCCAAAGGTCATGCCCTCTTCCCCAGGCCCTGGTGCCCTGCTCCTCAGGTTTGTGCAAGGTGACTTACAGGGACTCAGACACATATATAAATTATATATTTGGCAGACAAGAAGGTAGCAAGGTAGTGAGACCCCGAGATGGCAAAAGAAGAGAAATTCAATCAGCCTTTCCAGCAACGCCAGACCCAGCTTGGCCCAAGGTTGGTGATGAGTGGCAAGGACCTCCTTGCCCCTGGTGGGATAGATCCACACCCTATGGGGTCCCTCTAAACCCACAGTCAGGTTGGCTTCTGACAGAAGGGAACCAGCTGTCTGGGCTGGAAGGTACCTGGAAAGTATGGACTGGACCTGTGGCTGGGGCAGGGGGCAGGGCACCCAGCCTCCCCTAGCATGTTCCACCCCACCCCCAACCCTAACCCAGGAATCCCCAAACATACAAGCCCCTCTTGGAGACTCAGCCCCCTACACAAAGCTACCTCCCTTTCTTTAGGGGGTCAGTGGCCTAGAGAAGGAGGCTGTGGATAGACAGAGACCCAGGGTAATGGTGGTGGCAGAGCCCAGTCCAGGCAAGCCGTTGCCCTGTGGACCCAGTCAGAGCCCCTGGGAACCAAGCCTGTAGGTGGGATCCCAGGCCCAGGATACAGACCTGCACCCTACTGTCTCTCCCAATATGCTACCTGGGTTTGGTGGGGGATAAAGACCCCCACACCCAGCATCTGGTGGCACCCAGACCTTCCCATCCTCCTGCCTGATACTGGCTCCTTTAAGCTCCTCCAAGTGGTGGAGCTGGCTGGGCAAGCTGCTCCTACACGCGGGCCCCACCCGCCACCCAGACCAGACTGGCCAGGGGCCTGGCTCCCTGCTCAGTGGCCAGGCGGGGCTCCCAGCACTGGCCACTGCTGGAGTTCACAGGGCTGCTCCCAGTCCTAGGGGGTCCTAGATTTTGCCCAGTGGGCTCCCCGACCCCCGCAGATGGTCCCAGAGGCCCGCTGGACGCTCTGGCCTGCTCGGTGTCCCCTTCCAGGGCCTGCTGGCCCTCCCTGTTCCTCCCAGTGTCTCCCGGTCCCTGGAGGCCAAGCTCCTACCGTGCTGCACGCACTGCTCCGCGCTCCGGCCGGCCCGTGCCGGGCCAGGCGAGGTGGCTCAGCTGGTGGCGCGGCCCGGCAGCAGGAAATGCCAGAGGACTGATCCAACCGCGCTAGGCTAGGCGGAGCGAGGGAGTGCGGAGGGAGGAGGCGGAGGGAGGAGGCGGAGGGAGGAGGGCCAGGCAGCCGCAAAACCAGGGCGGATCAGCAGCACTGGAGCGGTGCTGTGAGGACCCCAGTGTCCGCCTGGCACCTCGTGGCAGGAGCGCCCTGCTCTGCCTGCCCCCTCCCGCTGGTGCAATCTGGGGCTCACACACACCTCCGGCCAAGGTTGGGGACACTGTAAGGAAAATGGCCAGAGGCTGGGAGGCGTGGGTGATGGTGAGCAGGATTAGTCTTGTGGGGTTCTCATATTTGGGGTGCAGAGTGCATGGTCACAGATATATGCACACTCCCAGCCCACCCTCGCCTGAATGTGAGCTGGCCCTCTCCCTTCCTGAGCCCAAGAAAAAAATGTCAACATTTCTGTCATTATGGAAAGCAACCAGAACACAAGAGATGGCCCCAAAACCAAGCCCACCATCCTCAGAGGGATGCCTTGGTCAAATTCTACCTTTCCTATGCACCTTTCTCAGGGTGGATTGCTAAGAGCCCGACCCTTGTGGAGTGAGTCCTGTGTCCCCCCATCCCTTCCTGTCCCTCCGAGCTCTCTATGCCCCCAAGTCCTCTTATACCTAAGAAACACTTGTTCTAATTCCTCTAAACAGGCTCCACATGGGAGCAGAGAAGGCCTCCCCTGACCTCCCCCATAGGTCCTAAAGTGCTGGCCCCAGGCGTCCCATGCATGGCCCCCACCTGAGGTGCTCTGGAACCCTGCTGGTTCCTTCTTCTAGCATATGTCTCAAACTGGGAGCTGGCCTCACCTCCTCAGGCACCTGCAGATGCAGGCAGGACATGGAAGAAGTGGTCTCTGTCCATTCCTACACCATCCCTGCTGTGGCTATCGGGGCTTTGTGGGTACATTCAGAGAAGTCCCCAAGCCTGGTAGTCATCAATGCTGGAAGGCCACCAGGCTGGGCAAGCCTGGAATGTCCAACTGCCCAGAGAGGACCCTTCTAGGTCTTGGGTGGAATGAGCCCTTGTGGGCCCCAACACATGGGGGATCTGTCCCAAATAACCTCCGGTAGACCAAAGGTGGGCTCCGCCTGGGAAAGAAGCACCTGCCGCTAGTTGCACACATGTGCAGGTTGAGAAGGCAGGTGGGCTGCCTAGGACCAGGCTTTGGGACCCTGTAGTTACCTGGCGAGGCCTTTGGATGCAGATCTGCTCAGTCAAGTTTGCTCAGGGCCGTGGAGGGACCTGCTCAGCTTGTGTCCCTTTTGGCAAGGATGTGTGCAGCATAGACCCAGCAGATAGAGCCCCGTGGTCCTGCTGTCTTGGGTCTGCTCTTGGAAGCCTCCAACAAAGCTGGGTGTGGCTGCAGGAGCCTGGTGAATTGCTGGTTGCTGGGGGAGGGGAGGTAATCAGAAGGGAATTGAGGAAGAAAACAAACCCCTTATCTCTTGGGGCAAGGTCTCAGGGGCCAAAGTAGGGAAAGTTTCAGTCACTTGATGAGGGCTATAGGGGCTTGTCATGAAATGACACTGCTGAGGGCAGAGGGCAAAGGGACATTAGGGAGTGGGAAGTTCCCACAGGATGACAACAGAATGGAGGCTAGGGGTGGAGTCTGGATGAGGTTTGACTCCTCACTAGGCTGATTCTGACAACCAGATGGCCATTTTAGAGTTGAAGAAAGAATGTGTCACCTGCTGGGCTGAGCCACAGGTGTCAGGTCTCCCTCAGGTGCACAGCTGCTGCTGAACTCTCCCAGAAAGCCCCCTTCCTGCTTCCTGCCTGTTTTGAGAAGGGCATGAGGTGATCAGAGGTAGAGCTGAATCCTGCTGCTGCAAGTGGCTTCATTACACCAATTTGCTCCTGCTGGGCCCTGGGTTCCTCACTGGACACAGCGTGCGTGTGGCTGCCAGCTCAGGACAAGAGCAAAAAGTCTCAGAGATGGGCAGAGCAAGGGGCTGGTGGTGTAGCTTTGGGGCCACACTGGTGGGCCATACCACCTAGGGGCTGTTGAATCCTTGGGCAAGTTTGTGCAACTCTGTGCCTCAGTTTCCTCATGTGTGAATGGTGATAATGAGAACAGTTCCCATGTCATGAGCTGCTGTGAGTACAGTGAGATATCACATTCTAAAACACTGGCCCTGGGGACACTGGGGCTGTAGGGAGCACCATGGGAGAGAGTGAATTGTATCACCTGGCTGATCAGTTCAGAATTTACCATAATCCAAACGCTTCACCTGTCATCAGTTAGATTTCTAAAATGTCTTCAGACATGGAGGCTCATACTCTGAACCATCAGAGAGCTATTTTTTATTATTTTATTATTATTTTTTGCTGTGTTGGGGCTTGACCTCAGGGCCTACACATTGAGCCACTCTGCCAGCCCTTTTTGGTGATGAATTTTTTCGAGATATGACCTCACAAACTATTCGTCTGGGCTGCCTTTGAACCTCGATCCTCCTGATCTCTGCCTCCTGAGTAGCTAAGATTATAAGTGTGCTTATAATCAGAGTGCTATTTAAAGTCAGGACTCTTTCAAGCCAAGTCTCTGAATGATCTGAATGGTGGTCCTCAGCTGGACTGTTTTTACCTCCCTACTCAGGTGGCACCGCCATGTCTGCAAGGGGTTTTTGGCTGCCATAATTGAGAGTCTGCGGGTGTCTAGGGGGCAGAGGCCAGGGGTGTTGGTAGACACCTGGGAAGCACAGGATGACCCCACAATGGAGCGTGATCAGGCCCCAAATGCCTGCAGTGCTGAGGCAGAGAAGTGCTTGGGCAATGACTGCACTTGAGCTTGCTCCTTGGCTCTGGATGGCCACTCTCCACTTTCCACTCTCTGCTCTCTGAGGGTTATGAGCGCTCCCTGAGGTCTCTTGATGACAGGCCCTGCTCTGTCCCAGGTTCTCCTGGAAGAGTCCTGGTATCTCCAAGGGGTCAATTACAGCTGCTTGTGGTAGACACTTGTGATGTATTTAGTCCACCCAACAACCCGGCAGGCTGGTTCCATTGCAATGGGTTCCGCTTTACAGATGGGGAGACCGAGGCACAGCAGGCAAGGAGGTGGCCAAGCGTTCCTGTGGCCTGGCTCCAGGGTTGTGTTTTGCCACCTAGTGAGTAGCAAAGACCCTCAGGCTCAGAGAGGACCCTGTAGAGCCCTTCACTCCCACTTCCCCTGGGTGTCAGGATCATGCTTGGACCTGTTTCAGAGACGGGACTTCCAGGGGTGCCTTCCTTGGGAAGGCAGAGGCCAGGTCTGGTCCATGGGAGAGCGTCCCCAAACCAAGCATGGCTGGCAGCTCCCACGACTATAGCTCACTTATCACTCTTCTGACCACTGAGGCAGCAACAATGACTTCTCCCCTTTTCACAGATGAAGAAATGGGTGTAAGGGTGTAGCTGACCTGGTATAAAAGTGTAAGAGTGTAGCTGGACTGAGGAGAGTCCCTGGCTCCTGGAGAGGCCCTGTCTTGTCACTCTGGGGAGCAGTGGGATGACCCTGCCATGAGGCTGACACAGCTGTCCTGCTTCCTTCCAGGCAAAGCCAACCCAAGTCAGGGGTTCATTGTCCCTGCTCTGAGACCCTCACTCCATTCCCTTAGCTGGCATCCCTACTGATGATAGGCTTCAGGGAGATTTAAAGCCTTCCTTGGGGTCCCCAGATCACAATAGCTAGTCACAGAAACAATGGTGGTGTGTACTGACCATCCACCGGGTGCTTCTAAGTCCTCAGCTTTACATGTGTGACCTGATTACATCCTCCTCACAACCTGGAGGTTTAGGGTTGTCCTTGTCCCTATCCTGCAGGCCCAGGTGTGGAGGCTCAGGGGGTGGAATGGCTGGCTTAGACCCTGCGGCAGTGCCTGGAGGCCAGGCCAGCAGTCAGACTGCAGGAGGCTGGCTTCCATCTCTGCCCTGGTGGCTGGGCTTGACTGGGTGTGACAGGGAAGGACCAGCCCTGTGACTCAACCCACAACCTTCCCAACTGCATGAAGCTGCCATCACAGGGAGGTGTTGGTCCCTTTTTCTGGAACCCACGGTGGGGTGTGGGGTAGGGAGGAACAGGATGGCTCTGTGTTCCCAGATGTGCCCCTCATCCCCTCCCCATGCAGGCAATGTGGCATTCTCCAGGGCTGAGTCACACTGCCAGGTGGGGGTGGGGCAGAGCCACAGCTGTCCTCTGTCCCCTGGGGACACCTGCAGAATGGTGCAGACTCCACAGAGCTGGCCTCTAACACAGGCTGCCACCTGGATGGCTCTTGTCTCAGTCATACACACACACACACACACACACACACGCACACACGCACACACACACGCACACACACAAGCACACGCACACAGTCCTCCCCTGGTGTGAATCAAACTTTTAAGGACGTTCTGGTTCCAAAACAAATAGAGCTTGTGTCCTCCTGGAGAGCACCAACTCCTGAGAGTACAACTCCATCCCAAGATACACGGTCTCGGGGGACATGATAAGGAAATAAAGCCAGTGTGGACAAACTAACAGCAAACCGACTGTGTTAGAGTCTTAGAGTCGCCATAATAAAACTCTACTGCAAACGGAAGGGAGGCCAGAAACACCAGGAAGTCACTCCCATACACTTCTGCTAGTCCACAGTCTGAGGTCAAGGTCACAGGGCTGGTTCCCCTCCACCAGGCCCCAGAGGGACCTTCCTTCCTTTCTCCACTTCCAGTGCTGCCCACAGTCCTGATGACCGTGGGCTTGAAGAAACTGAGCCATTCTCTGCTTCCGTCCTCTCAAAGCACTGGTCCCTTTGTGTCTTTTTTTGTTTGTTTGCTTTGTCTTGTTTTTTGAGATAGGGTCTCACAGTATAGTCAAACCTGATCTTGAACTCATGATCCTCTTGCCTCAGTGTCCTGAGGGCTTCTTGCATCTCCTTGCACACACCTTGGGGACCTAAAGCTAGTGACTGAGCTGGTGCTGTCCTCTGCCCCAGG